GTTAATCTTTAATTTCCGGAGACCCTAGGACAAAACCCTGGAGGGTTGGCAACCCTAGGGGAGGCACGGTGGATCTCTCTCATGGTGGTACTGCAGGGACAAGCAGGTTCCTGGGCCGGGCTCTGTTCTTTGGCCACTGCAGCTGTCTAAAGGGGCTGTAAGCCAGCAGAAACAGCTCCCAGGGAATTCCCCTAAGGGGGTTCCCTGCACTCTCCATTACCCTTCCTTATAACCTCTAGCCTAGGGGTGTGTGCCAAGGAAGGGGTGAGTGGTCAGAGTGCAACTGAGCTGCAGCTGTTCTGGGCTGTGGAACAGCCCTTAAGGGGCCATTGCAGCCAAACATAAATTAGAACATATTGGAAGCCAAGCAGACATCCAGCAGAACAGAAGGTAGAGAGGAGATACAAATGTGGCAAAAGCCCCCATTGACCCTCATTTCCTCATTCCTGCGCCATGCAAAGTTTGGGAGGAACAGAGATGTTGACCTATTTTCAGTGGAGTAACTCATCCTGATTTACACCAATACTGTAGAGATTCCAAGTTTTAAAAATATAGCTTAAAACAGCTGTAGTACCAAACACTATATATGGTCAGGGCCATATCTTTCCCTTCCTATGTAAAGTTGTACAACATGAATGCACTTATCTTCAATGATACGTGACTTCTGTCGTCCTATTGATCTCCCATGCAGAAGGTGGGGCTAGTGATGGCATGGAATGATCATAGTCTATGGTCTCTGTTCCACACAGAAAGCCGAGCCTATGTCTACTTCAGTATGGGCACTACTTCAGCAGCATACCTATGTTGCTATAACCCCATAGCATAGACACGGACTACAGTGACAGGGGTTTTTCCATTGCTGTAGGAACTCCACCTACCCAAGCAATGGTAGCCAGACATAGCTGTGGCACTCAGGGGTATGCATTTTTCACACCCCTGAATGCAGTAGCTATATTAACTGAAGTTTTATGTGTAGACCAGGCCTGAGATAAGAGCAGCTGCAGAAGCAGCCAAAGGAAAGGCTGTTGCATTAGGAAGACAGTGTAAAATGGAGCCCAGCTGGGGCCACTCCAGCCCTCACCACTCTTGGACCCAGAACTGTGCAGGGGAGACTCCTCCCCCCCCCCCCCCCACATGCTCTGGGGAAACTATAGCCTGGATGGTATCTCCCTTCCCTCCTGCCACGGGTCCTGAAGAAGCAGCCGAAGCAGGGACTTTCACACATTCAAAGAACTTCCTACAGTTTTTTTGGGAATTTCCCTACCCTATGCTGATTGGCCATTTCCTACAACCCTCCCCATACTCCTCCCTCACAGTCTCCTCATCTCAGTTTCACTCCACATCTGCCCCTCTTCTCACCTGCCCTGTCCCTCTGACCCTTCTCCTCTTACATGCCCCCTTTTCCTTCCCTTTTATTTCCATTTAGCTGATCCCCCATTAACCAAACCAACCAACACCACCCCAAATCGCGGAATTAACATGTCGTTTGCTGCCATCACATTGTTGCAGTGGTGCCAGTTAGGGTGAAGGGCTGGCTGGGGAGGGAATTTCCTCCCCCTGCCAAGAAAGCGGGGTTGGTTAAGATTAAGTGGTTGATTAAGTGAATTGGCACCACTGCTCTAAGGGTTTCATTCCTGGCACTGGTAGCAAGGGTGCCTCAGATGCTGTCATGTTGTCATTTGCTGCATTCTGCAAGTCCTTTTATGGGGTTCAGAGTATGTAACCTAAGTTATTGGTGATAAAAGCTATGTTAACCAATGCAGGTTTTTCTAGCATAATTTCTGCTGGCTGAAGAGGGGAACGTATAAGGTATGGTGAAGCAGAATCAGGGCCAGTGTCTTTTTTTTCTTTTTTAAAAATATCCTATCAGGAAAGGACAATGCCAAGGTTATTTGGCTTCAAACATTTACCAACAAGAGTTTGTTTTAAATCTCACTAAGTTTTTTAAGGTTTATTCATTCTCCAAAGTTCATGGAGATTTTCATAATTTAGATATCAACTAATAACATACAAATCAGAGTACATTTTGTAGTGGGTCATCTCTTTTAGATTCATTTTTGGTAAGTATGATGACAACAAAAGGTGACATCAATCACATACT